TATAAAAAAAATGCTAAAAAAATGGATCCCAAAATTTTTTGAAAATTTCATATTAAAGTATTTAAAATTTCAAGCTTCAGCCATTTCAAGCTTCAGCCACGACAATTATTTATTTCTTACAATAGCTCGTGTCCAAGTTGTATAATGAATTTCTGTAAGTTAATATGTTTAGTATCTGTAGGCCAACAAAGGTATTCACATCTTGAACAATAACACTCTTCACGAATTAAAGTAATGATAGTTGCCATATCTTGTGTTTCTTGATTAAGATCAGATTCCTTAGGTTTTTTTTTAGTAAATAATTTTGTACGTTTTTTGCTTAAAAAAAATTCATTATCACTACTTGTCACAGTCAAAATCAGTTTTGCGACGAAGGTTGGTGCTCGAGATATGTAGTGCGTGGAGTGACAATAGAGGAATATTTGAATTAGAGATTGTGTGTGCGTTAAATAAATAAATAAATAAATAAATAAATAAATAAATAAATAAATAAATAAATAAATAAATAAATAAAAAAAAAAAAAAAAAAAAAAAAAAAAAAAAAAAAAAACTTATCGCTTATGTTTGGTGCCAAAGTTCGAGTTCGAAGGTCTCATGATCACGTGGACTATCGGTTGAGTCACGGGTCATTAATTGGTCAAGGTTGGAAGTCAATCGAAGGGTAATCAATGATGTAATTATGGATCGATAATAAGGCATAAGAAATCAGTAATAAATTAAAAATTTAAATATGCGACGGTTAAAGTAGAAAATTGTATGATAAATTAGTAATAAGATTAATTATGATGAATTATGATGTAATTAATTTAAAGTCAATTTTATGTATATAATGGTCATAAAAAAAAATAAAGAAAAAGGTACTTTTTTGTTTTCATGGTACAAGTAAAAAAAATACTAGTATAACAATTATTACTCACCATCGTATTGAGACGTTGGTTTGTCTTTCGTGTTGGTGCTGGTAGGGACGAAGTCAAAATCCTAAGCGACACTACTACTACTATTTTCTTCACATATCTAAAATAATTTAATTAAATTTTATATTAACAAATATTCAAAATAATTCATATTAATATTAAACATTTATTATACCATTTTATTAGATCATTTTTTTGTTGAGGCTAAACCAGAAATTTGACACATTGTAATATTTACAGATATTTCTTTTTTTTTAATAGTAGTGTAATTATATTCTTGAACAAAAATATTAAAATCAGAATTATTAATGATTAGAGTTCCAGCTCCAGTTTCTTTTGTAGTTTGTAAGCCAATATATAATCATCTTGAGTAATTGAAGAATTTTCTAACTGAAACTGAATTTCTGATTGGATGTGATTCTGAAATTCAGTACAAGATTGTGCATGAATTATTATTCATCTTGCTGGTAATAAAATACTATTTTGATTTTTAATATTTAGTTTGAGCAAAAATTTAGTGTTTTTTTTTATTGCTTTTTTCAAATTGATTGTTTTTTTTCAATTGATTGCTTTTTTCAAATTGATTGCTTTTTTCAAATTGATTGCTTTTTTCAAATTGATTGTTTTTTTAAATTGATTGATTTCTTCAAATTGATTAATTTCTTCAAATTCAAATTGATTGCTTTCTTCAAACTGATTGCTTTCTTCAAACGAATTGCTTCTTCAAACTGATTACTTTCTTCAAACTGATTGAGAGATTCAATATCACTATATAAATCTTCAATTGTTTCTGAATTACTTTCTATAGACTTTCAATTTCACTATTGATTTCATTATTTAAATCTTTAATTTTTTCAATTTCATGATTTAGATCTTTGATTTCTTTAATTTTATTAGATGATAATTGATTAGATGTAATAGCACTATAGGATTCTTTAATATTTTTAATATTCATATTTTTTTTTTAGATTTAAACTTAGCTCGATACTATTTGCTATTACAAGATGGACAAAATGAAAATTTTATTGCTTTGGTAAATTTAGTATTATAATTGAATTTTGATTTAGAATTTTTTAAAAATTCTTTTTGTTTTGTAGAAAGCTTGTTATTATACATTATAGTAAAAGTCCATGGTACTAGTTTTCTTTGATTTTGTAAAGTTGATAATATTTGTTTATCACATTTGTATGAATCAAGTGAAGTATCTTATTTACAGTAAAGACATATTGCACATCTGAAGCAAGTGCCTATGAGATATGTTTTGCTAGCCATGAAATTTCATATACATTTGGATGATAAAAAATGTATATTTATACTCTAGTAAGCTTTATTGCGATTTGCAAAATTCTGGATCCCATTGTTAGTTTGAGTGATGATCATCACTCCATGATTGTAATTGCAATTGTGACGAAAATAAGCGTTTCTACTACAACAAAAAGACATTTGCGGTTGAATTCTGACTAATTATTTTAGAGACTAGTCGGGGCTTATTTTTAAAAGATAGCCTGACGCTTTTAATTGCAATAGAAATATTTACTGCGCCATAATCACAATCGACTGTGGCGTAGTAAAATAATTATATTATATTTAAGAGCGTCAAGCGATCTTTTGAAATTAAGCCCCGACAAATCTCTAAAATATTTAATCAGAACTCAATCTCAAAGGTCTTTTTGTTGCAGTAGAAACGCTTATTTTTTCACAATCGCAATCACAATCGTGGAGTGATGATCATCGCTCAAACTAACAATGGGATCCAGAATTTTGCAAATCGCAATAAATGTAATTGTTATTAAAATGCGATTGTGATTGTGATTGCGATTGCGATTGCAATTGTTAGATGATGATCATCGCTCAAACAATGGGATCCAGAATTTTGCAAATCGCAATAATATTAGGTTATGAGGAAGATGCAACTTGACATTTATAATCGTTTTATATACTGTAAATTCCAAATGTATTTCCTTAATGTAATTTACGTATTAACTGGTTCAAAAAATTTTCTCGATTGCTTAGTTGAATCCATACTCAACTAAGAATTTTTTTAAAGCATTCTATTTATTATGTGAAATGTTGTTTGATTATTACGCGTTTTATAAAAAATGAAAATAAAAAAATGGGTACACTGTTTATACAAGTGTTGATTGTGATAAATTTATGATTTATCTTTATAACATTTACAATTATTGGTATTACATTTTCAATCTATAAAAGCTTTCTATCTATCAATACATTGCATATAAAAGTATGATAGCAAGAATTGCCCAAAATTTATATCTTGTATTTATTTGACAACATAGTTAGCAAATAAAACCTAGATATGCTTTAATGTTTTTTGCAGCATGTTTTCGTATTTCTTCTCTTTATTTGACTCGTTTTTGCCGTCCTAAATAAACCGCAATGATCAGTGCAAGTAATTATAAAAATTATAATTTTATTTCAACATACCTCTTATTTGTTTTTAAACAATTGTCAAGATGTGAATTTATGCGCATGTTTGTGGGTTTTTTAAAGATTTTATCACACTTTGGACATTTCCAATCAATACTCATCATTTGAGGGCCCGGGTCGTTTTCGGAGTTTTCAGGAATATCAGATCCATAAATTTCACTATTTGTATCTTCAGATTCAACTATTCCAATTCGTTCTTCTGGTTCAATTCGTTCGTCTTGTTCAATTCGATCTTCTTGTTCAATTCGATCATCTTGTTCAATTCGATCATCTTGTTCAACTTGCTCAATTCGTTCGTCTTGTTCAATTCGTTCGTCTAATTCATCTTGTTCGGTTTGTACAAAATAGCTTGAATAGATTACATCTTGTCCAAAATCACTATCAATTATATCTTCAGCATTTAAACATGTATCCAGATGTTTGTTAATTTGAGAAATTTTTATATTTGGAAACTGTTTATTACAACCAGGGCAAATATATTGCTTAAGAACAGTTGGTACAGGATACCATTTATATTTTTCACTGGTTTCCTGAGTTGGAGTACAAAAAGTTGTGATGGATTCACGTTCTGCCAATAGTTCGACTACATTTCTTCGAGCGGAATTATGGTTTGATGCATTCGAAGTTCCAAATGGTTCAATGTTAAGACGTTGTTTTTTAGTTTGTTTTTCCTGGTCATTCGTATCTTCTTGTGTCGAAAACCACTTTTAAGAAAAGAATTATTTTTTATATAATATTGAATAAAATGAATTGCTAAAACAAAATTAATGATATACCCTTTTCAAACAACTACTCTCAGGTTTTGATGTTCTTGGTGGTTCAAGTTCAGATTCTTTAGGAGTTGTTGATTGTCTTGGAGGATTTTGTTGTTTAAAAAACCACTTTCAAATTTTTATATTAAATAATCGAAATAAACAGATATTTTATATTAGAAACGAAAGAAAGTGAAACGTAAAACAACTATGTATATACTTTATTCAGTCCACATTCATCATTGCGTGAGCATAAATTAGATATTCGAACACCCATAAGCCTTATGTTTAAGGGCAGTTCTTGCACTAATATCTGTCATCAAAAAGAAAAATACGAAATCAATGCCATGAAATATAGTATAAATTAAATTTCAAATGGGTTTAAATTGAATAATACTTGTTTTCCAAAATGATATAAATCATCAGCCTTATATATATATCTTTTAAGAGATTTTTCGCGTGTAGTCACTTTGAAACTAACAGATTTGAATGTTAACGCAATAGTTTTTCCCTGCATTTTAAATTTTATTAATCAAGTACTCTTTAATGATACCCTAAAGTTCATATAATGTATCGTAAAATTCATTACTTACGTGGAGGTATTCTTTAGCAAGGTCAGCAGCAAGATGATCAACTAATTCGCGAAGTTTAGCCAATAACTCATTAGGTTTGCTTATGCTGTAGAAAGTTCTAGTAGAATGCATAAATCAGTAATTAGCATTAATGTTAAGATTATTAATCAATTTAAAATTTACGAACCTTGATATGCTCATACTTTTCCGTTTATATTCTCTGAACAATGTTAGTTAATGATGTAATTATAATAATTATAATGAGAATTAAGAGCTAAATAATTATAATGAGAATTAAAAGAGCTAAATGATAATGATAATAATAATGGTAATAAACTTTACGATTTAACAGTAGTCGATCCAATTCCAAGTGCCGACCGTATGAAAAAATTGAATGAAATCGATGAAAACATCCTATATATGTAGACACTATTGTCGAGTATTGCACCACATGTGCTAATGTCTATCTCCTTCAAAATTCTTTCAGTGACTCGACCAATACCTTGACGAGTGGGGTTTAAGGTAATTGTTTATTTAATAAATAAAGAATTGAAATATATGCGAAAAGAACTTACCAGGGATTTTACGAACAGGAAGAGGTCGAATGAATCTCATAATATCATTAATATTATTTGGAAGTCGATATTGCCCGTTTGGTTTGTTAAGATCAGAACATATTTTAGACAATAACATGTTGGCGGCGATACCTGCACTAGCTGTCAATTTTGTCTCTTCATATATTTCTTTCCGGATTTGCTCAACTACTTCGTCGGGTGTTATATCAGTTGTTTTAAGATATTCTGTAATATCTAAGTATGCTTCGTCCAAGCTCATTGGAGTATAATTTGGATCATAACGAGCAAAAACCTCACGTATTTGCTTCGCAACTGCATGATATTTGTCGAAATTACATGGAACTATAATAAGTTCTGGACATAACTTTTTAGCAATGAAACCTGGCATAGCACTACGTACACCATACTAAAATAATAAAGACATTATTTGATTAATGTTAATTAAATTTTACATCTAAAAAAATTTTTTTACATATAAAAAATTTTTGATAGATTAATCATACACGTCTGGCTTCGTAGTTCGATGTGCTCAACATAGAATTACTTCCAACAGCCATTGGTTTGCCACGCAAAGAAGGATTATCTCTTTCTTCGACTGCTGCATAATAAGCGTCCATATCAATGTGCACTATTATGCGAGATAAGTCCCTCTTACATTCAATAGCCTGCACCAAATTATTAACTTTATTATCAAAACTAGATAAATCTTGTCTTCTGAGAGCTTCGTATTTTTTTAATAGCAGTTCGGTTTTGTGTTTTAGAGCTTCGTCCTTTCTGACTTCATTGTGATAGAACGCTGAGTTCTAAAAGTGATGTAACCAAATATAAATATAAACAATTATAATACATGAATGAATGCTTAAAATATACAATTATGTAGGATTTTACCTTTGAAGCTTCGTAAATAACTTGATTAACCTTTTCTTTATCAATTCCTTGTAACCCCGCCTTGTTTGAGGCAAGGTCACCCATTCTAGAACGCACCGATTCATCATTATTTTTATCAGCTGTGGAATGCTCAGCATTCGATGACGAAGCAGATGATGAACTGGAATTGATTTCCCCTTGATCAGTTAATGGTTGTAAGTCATTTTCTTCAGAAAATTGAAATTCCGTTTCAGGTTCTTCTCCAATTAAAAAATCTTGAGAATCAAAAATATCATTTCCATCAAATTCCATTTTAGTACATTTTAACTATATACTTTATACGCATGAATGGTAAGTAATTCGTACAATAAATCAAAGTACACTATATGAAATTATTTATTGCAGTCGTCTATCAAAAAATAAAAAAAAAAACCGAAAAAAAAGTTATAAGGAGTGAAAGGATTTAATTTGTCCTTTTGACCGCCTAGTGATCAAAATAATACAGTAATACGATGATTTTCTGCGCCAAGGCCGCAGTTTTGTACTCTGTAGTATTGTCAAGCAACATCCCCGGGTTCAAATATAAACAGGTAAACAATACTTCTATTGATGGCATAGTTCTAGAAAGTTCTATATTTTAAATCTGGGGTACTGAAATTGGTATGGTAATTATTCACGAGCATTGAAAAAACATAAATTACAAGATTTTGCCAAAAGGAGAACAACTATCACTATAAAAAAACCTGAATTATTTAACTCATACGTACAGTCATATGTAAATGCAATATTAATATAGCATACGTATATCGATAATTTTAGGTAGCTGTCCCACAAAATTTTTTCCACCCTTGTAATAACGACCAATCGAATTTCAGGATCAGGTGTAACG